CCGCCCTCGCTACCCAATCCCGGGTGCCTGATTGGACCTGGCCTGAACTTTCCCGCCCCGGGCACTTCCTCCCGCGGCTGCGGAGGGAGAGAACTGCATCGACCGCCAAGTAGGCAGCTGGGGTTCCAAAAAAGCGGCGGCAGGTGCCTGCCCTGGAGGCAGTGCCCTGGTCCCCGCCAGTTTGCTACCTTCCCAGGGCACTTGTGCTTAACAACATCATCTGCTAGCCACTTAGCTAATGAAACGTATAGAAAACCAAAAGGCCGGAGAACATTATCTTAAGGACCAAAAAGTTAAGGCTTTGAGAGGATGCTATTAATCCCCTAATTGGTAATATAGAAACAAAATGGTAGGAGAGAGGAGGCTGAGGAGAAAGACGATCTCCTTGATAAGAGAGGGAGTGGTCAGCTGCTAAAGTGCCAAATGTTCACTTAAGTTTGTTCTGAAATCGTCATATTTGAACTATTCTGTTACCGTCAATGTTTGCCACAGTAAAATGAGAGCATTTTGTACTATATATATTCATACATTCATTAAACAAAAGATCTTTGAACACCTAACTCTATGCCAGACACCATTCTAAGAGTTGGCCATGTAAGCAGAACAAAACAGGCAAAAATCATTAAAGGGAGAAACATGAGTAAAACTGAATAGTGCTCCATCTGTTAAATAATTTACAAGCTATTAGGTCAGACTTACTGGGGTGGGGGTGGGGAAGAAAAACAGAAAACTTCAGAACTCTTCTCCAATACCCATAATCTCACCTGCAAACCTGCAATTTTTTACATCTTCTGGAAATCATTGGTAAATCAGCTTTAAGAGAGAGTGGAGGAGAGCTTTAAAGCAGAAGAATTGAACCAAGTTGTGTTCAATTAATATTGAGAGCATTTCTGGATGTTTAACACAGAGAAAAGCCTGAGATTTTATTAAGAGAAAAATCCACACAGCTGATTCTCATCCTAGGATGATATACTGTCTAGTGAAGGTCCCTGCTGGGGGACTTTGCATACCACTCTTTGTGACAATGTGCCACATCCCTCTGGAAATGCTAGCACATTTTATCCATTGGTTTTAGATATGGCTCTGTGCCTTCTGCTCAGAAACACTTGTGTCTTCTCAGTTGTCAATCTATATCTTGAGCTTCTGTGTCTAGGGTGGGTTACCTGCATTTAACTTGCTGGGTGAGGGCTTCCATAAATTAGATAAATATGTGTGATAACTACCCTGAACCTTTCTGTCTGGTGTCCCAGTTTGCAGACCACTACCTAACCACCTGTATCACCCATCACCTTTCCAAGTTTCGGTCTATCTTCTGGATATTCTGGTTATTACTAAAACCTGGAGAAGTGGAGTAATACTACTGAAAGTCCTAAGTCAAGAATCTATTGAAGGATTTTTCCGCATGCTCAGTGGCAGATGCGGGTAGCAGTAACCCTGCAACACAAAGAAAGGGAGACAACAGACACAGTGAGAACAAAGAGCTGCTGGGTTCCACATTAACCAGGAAAATTGGGAATGAGCCCATAATAGCAAAGACAACAAGAATTAATACATAAATAAAAGCAGTCATTTTACTGCAAAATTTATATACTTGAGAGGAGAGGAATAACAGCCCACTCCTCCCCCATTCACTCAGTATGGTCTATAGAATACATCCAAGCAACCAGTAGTCAAGACTTAGAACTGTGTTTTCTAAGTAGCAATGATTATTTAAAAAAAAATCTTTGTAGTTTCAAAAGAAAGCATTCATTGACATTTACACCTAGGGCAGAGAAGAAACAGTCTATCCTAAATTTCTATTCTGCATTCTTCTGAAAAGACAAATTTGCCCTCTTCCTGTTTTTAGTGTGAAATGATTTATGTCTAGAGAAATCTTCAATCATTTCTTTCCTTTCTATGGAAGCACTTCTTTTTCTTCCCTTCTGTGAATTACATATGTACACACACCAGAAACACTCAAAATGCAGACTGATTTTAAGTTGGTACCCTCCCCCCCAGGATGCCTGTCTCTTTAACACATAATTAAAGCAGTTGATGGTGTCAAGGTTTCAATTAAGCAGTCTTGATTTTTTATTTTGATGCAAATTTGGAAGCTTTGTGTTTTGAAAGAAATTGCATGCATAGCTACTCAATTTTAAAATATTTGTGTTTTAAATGAATCACATTAGTTGATTTCAGAAGTTTACAAAGAAGATATGAAAAATGAAAGTGCATGTCTCATTAAAAACTTTATGCTTTAAGGATACATTTGAAACACCATAAATTGATGAGAAATACCCATATATCACACATTCAAAACCATGTAAAGAAATACATATTTCTCCAGTGCTCCCCATTCCTTACATTTCAGAACTATGGTCACCTGGTCACTCTAGTGAATTTCAAGAGAGAACATAATTTATTTTGATTTGTATTTTTCACATTTACCTCTAACAGTATCTACTGACATCAAATTGATCCAGCCACAGAATTGCAAAGACAGCATAGTTTCTTCTTGAGTTTGTAAATCTAATTCTCTAAGAAATCTGGGATCAGCCTGTTATTTTCCCCAGTTTTACAGATGAACTAACAAGGTTAGGTTACTTGCCCAAGTTTAGTCATGAAAATGACGACAGTTCTTAGGACAGTTTCTAGAAGCCCAAACACTCTTCTCCTTATACCTTTGTCTTATAGTGAAATTTCCCTAAGAGAAAGCCCCGTATGTTTTAAACGCAGATTTTCCATCAATGGAGTGGACTGAATGTACTCTTATGTGACCACTGCATTCATTCAAGTTGATAGATCCAATTACCACAAGGAGAGAAAATCACCTAATGTGTTAAACTAAGATCAAAGATCCCCAGCTGTGTTTTCAAGTTTATTCAGATAACCCAGAGTGGCTGATTTTTTTTTTTTTGCCTCTTAATTGAGATTTCTGTTTATCCACACAAAATAATCGTGAATACTATTGGTCCCCACTACCCTTGTCCAGTGTCTAGCTCATAGCAATGAAACATTGAAATTTTCTAAAGTAGAGATGAAGAAAGAAAGAAATCCCCAAGTTCTAGCTGAAATTTAGACAAGAACCTAATTGGTTATCTCCGTAAATCTCATTTGTCATATGGTAACAACCCGAAAGGATTAAAAGGCTTTTTGCAGACCCCATGATAATCGATTATTTCACATCTGACCCAATTAAAAGCTAGAAAAAAATACTTGTTTCATTGATGTGTGTGTTTTAGTTTAAGGGAATAATGCAGAGAGAAAACAAAAAATACGTGAAGCCAGAATGTATGTAAATAATCCCTATGTTTGTTGCTCCATTCAGACCCCACCCAACTCGACTACTGGAATTCCATGCCAACAACCCATGTAATTATACCCTGTAAAGTCATATATAGTAGCAGTTATACTAACAGTAATAATAATAATCCTGTTTATTTGGCCAGGTCTCCTTGTCAGAGCCCTTTTCAGTGAACACTTATTACATGCCTATTATGTTCACGTCACAATGCTAGATGATTTTTCTTTGACGTGAGTAAGACAGTGTCTCCAGCACCAAGGCCTTATCTAGTTGGAGAAAGAAGCATATAAGCAATTAATTATAGCACAAGACTTACTGTGTTAGGTGTCACGATGAAAATACGAGTCAACAGCATAGGGAGTGCCCAAGAAGGAGCGATTTCTTTTGGCTAAAAATCTGGGGAAGACTTCCATGTGGAAAGTGTACGTGATTTCACCTGGTTCTCCCTATCGTGCTGTGAGGCACTGGGGCTAGTATGGTGATGGTCGTTTATCAGACAGGATGTAGGATCAGAGCACCAACAGAACTAGGATACAGCACCCAGCTCTGCTTCCTAGCCGCTACTGTGTCCTCTGTGGTCAACTTGTTCTCTTTTTATGAACCACTCACACAGCTACCATTCTCATTAAAATGAAACTTTTAAAATTAATCTTAACAGTAGCTATTGGTGCTTACTA